TTTTTGATTTATTGTAGAGACGAGGTCTCGCCATGTTGCCCAGGCTGGTCTCGAACCCGCGGGCTCAGGCAATCCACTCGCCTTGGCCTCCCAAAGTGCTGGGGCGACAGGCTGAGCCACCCAGCCGGGCTAAGTTAAAAGCAGCCTTCTAAGCACAAGCTGAAACAAGAGCATTCAAATGTTGAAAGTGACCCAACATCCCCCTCTGCTGGCCAGAATGAGTGACTGCTGCCGTTTCACCAATGACAGTATTAGTGCCAGTTTCACCAATGATAGTATTAGTGCCACTCAGATTAGCACCTCTAGATTAGACCCATTCATCTGTGGATGGTTCTCCAGAGAAACACAACCTAGAGGAAGGATGGATGGATAGACAGATAGATAAGTATTATATCTTATCTACCTGCCATCTCTCTATTGAGAGCTAGAGACAGAGAGATATTTATTTTAAGGGACTGAGCCTCATGCAGTCTTGAGGGGTGGCAAGTCTGAAATCTGTAGCATAGGATGACAGTTTAGAAATTTAGGCAGGATTTTTATGTCACAATCTTTCTTTTTTTTGTTTTTTGAGTCAGAGTCTCATTCTGTCGCCCAGGCTGGAGGGCAGTGGCACAGTCACAACCACTGTAGCCTCGACCCGCTGGACTCAGGCGATCCATCTGCCTCAGCCTCCCAAGTAGTTGGAACTACAGGCTCGTGCCACCATACCCGGCTAGCTTTGGATCTTTAGTAAGCATCTCAGGTTGGGCTCAGTGGCTCACCCTGTAATCCCAGCATTTTGGGAGGCAGAGGGGAGAGGATTGCCTGAGCCCAGGAGTTCGAGACCAGCCTGGGCAACTTGGTGAGCCCTTGTCTCTACAACAAATCACAAAAACCAGCGGGCCATGGTGGCACGCATCTGTAATTCCAGCTCCTTGGAAGACTGAGGTGGAAGGATCTCCTGAGCCCAGCAGGTCGAGGCTGTGGTGGCCGTGAGCATGACACTGCATTCCAGCCTGGCAGCAAGAGTGAGACTCCAACTAAAAATAAATAAATAAATAAACAAACATCTCAAATGTCACATCCACGTGCTGGCCATGGACTTGTTTTCCATGTGGTATGTTCATTACCGTTTTCATTACCCACCGTGTATCACAAGGGGTGGAGGGGGGACTCTGCAATCTTTGTCCACTGGCCTCCATGTCAACCTACTTCCCCTGGGTTCAGCCAGGAGAAGACACTGACAGGGGACAGAAGGAGGTAGTGGCACCGTGGCAGGACGTATCTCTCCCACCCCTCGACTTCAGGGGCTTCTCTGGAAGTGGCCGAAGCTCTTCCTAGACAGACCTTTCATGGGGTTACGGCTTCCATCAGGTGGCTTCAGCCCCCGGACCCTGACAAAATCACCTTCTCTCTTTGTCATTGCAACCGGTCCCCAACTCAAAAAAAAAAAAAAAAAAGCTTTAGAAAATCAAGTAACTGCTGCCCTTGACCAATATAGCAGGAATGGTGAGGGCTGTGAAAGGGAAGAGCTATTTCTGTCACGCTGGGAAAATGACATAAAGAAAATGATGAGCTCAGGACTTTAACTTCCAGCTCCAGAAGGAGAGGCTGTGTATTCCCAGAGAGCTTGCACAGGCTGGGGCGCGTGGACAGGAGTTGCTTCTAAAGAGTGTTGGCCCAGACAGGATGGTGTGTGGGGCTGGACGGGACTGAATTACTGATTCTGAATTTCCTGTGTGGTGGAAGCAGCTGGAAGCAGCTCGAGTCATTTGCTTAGTTGACCCAAGCTTGGATTCAAGATTGGGCCACGTTTAATGCGGTTCGTATGCCAGGATTTCCCTGGTCAAACGTCAAGGAAAGAGTGTGGAGAATTAGGAAGAGCAACGCTGGAGAAGACTTGCTGTGTGCAGTTTGCTCTTGGTCCTCCTGCACCCTTCTCCCCGGGAGTGCAAGGGACATTCCCTTCACCAAGCCATTGAGAAGCAGACTGGCTCGAAGCATAAGTGGATGGATGGATGGATGGGGGGGGAGAAGAGAGAGGGAGGAAGGGGAAAAAGGGAAGATGGAGGGAGGGAGGAGAGAGAGAAAGAGAGGGAAAGGGAGGGCAAGAGACAGAGAGAGGGAGAGAGAGGGAGGGAGAGAAGAAAAGGAGGAGGGAGGGAAGGAAGAGAGAAAGAGAGGGAGGAGGAGGAGAGAGAGAGGAGAGAGGGAGGGGGAAATGATGGGGGAGAGGGAGGGAAGAGAAAAACAGGGGGGAGGGGAGAGAGAGAGGAATGGAGAAATGAGAGGGGGAGGAAGGGGAAGGGGGAGGGAGGAGAGAGAGAGAAAAAGAGATGAGGGAGAGAGAGAGGTCTGCATTCAACAGTTGCAGAAAACATATCTTTTTCTCCAGTATACTTGTAAAAACTGATCTGTGCTAAGCCAAAAGAAAACTCCAATGAATCTCAGTTAATAGTGTCCTACAGATCAACATCTCTGACCACTATACATTTAGAGCTCCAGTTAATGGCAAAATGGGCTCGGTGGCTCAGCCTGTAATCCCCTGCCTTTGGGAGGCTGAGGTAAGTGGATTGCCTGAGCCCGCGGGTTCGAGACCCGCCTGG